AATGATTTGTTCTAATGGTGTTTGTAAATAGGATCACAAGTCCACATCATGTACAGCAATTAACCACTAAGAAGAATATATGCAGTGTATTATTTGTTGAAACTGTACTTCCGATTTGATTTGAAACTGTCTCATTGCTGTTTATCAATAAAACTTTGAAAAAAAAAATTCCCTTTCTAACTGTAGACTCTTAGAAAAGTTTAGAGTGAATAAGATTCGTGTAAAAGTTCTGGCACTAATTATTCACTTGATATTGATTCTTTTGATTACCATTCATGTTTCTTTAAGTGTTGAAAAGATTTTTTTTTAATATCATAGTTATTTGATAAACTGTAGTTGCAGTTGTTTTGTGGTGCAAGGAACTGAACCAGGGTAAGTGCACAATAAGCATTTTGGTCAGCTTTCTCATTGTCAGGACCAACGGTGAACAAGCGCCTCCAGCCAGCACCCACAGCTCAAGGCTTAGTGGCTCAGGCTCTCACTCAGTGGGTGGCTAGCTCCAGGGCAGAAACAGAGTCTGGAAGGGCCTGGGACAAAGGACAGCTGCTCATCCCATGGCAGCCAGGAAGCAGAGGAAGAAGGGAAGAGTCGGGAGCCCTTGTAGGCGACACTGCTAGTGACCTGCCTCCAGCCAGGTCCCACCTCCTAAAAACAGAGTCAATTGTGAACTCAGCAAGTGGGGCACCTCTGGAAATAGTCACCTGCTACACACGAGGATTTGGGAGAAATTTAGATCTAAACCGTAACGACCCTGAACTGCATCCAAGCCCCTACATGTTTTGTTACATTTTTTAATGTTTCCATATTTTTCTCTCCTTGGTGTAATATTTTTATAATACAGTGTAAAACTTTTCCTTGTTTAATTCTCTTTTTCAGAAACTTACCTATATACAAAACAGAATCTAGAAGTAGAAATCAACAGGTATTTTTAACCAGTTTTAAGTTTAAGAATATAAGACATCTCTGAAAATGTGAGCAAATATAATTAGGAGCCTTTTAGTAGCCATCTGGCTTTGTTAAAAGGAATAAACAAAGAAGACTCATCTTCTGTAGGGGGTGAGACAGCCTCTGTGGGGTCCATAATCACTCAAACTTGGTGATCCTCCAGCCTCTAGCCTCCCACCTCAGCCTTGCCACACACTGCAATTACAGGCATACGCCACCATGCCCAACAACACACAAACAATTTTAAAAGCTATACCTTTTCAAAGTCTTATTTTTTTTTAAATTTTTTAATTTTTTTTCCAGAACCAGGGATTGAACTCAGGCCCTTGTGCTTGCCAGGGAAGCACTTATTCCACTGAGTCATTTCCCGGGCCCCTCAAAGTCTTAAAGCTTCCTGTTAAAACTTTTACTTTGTATGTTTTATGATCTATATATATATTTTTTCCCAAGTATTTTTAAGTTTTCCGTATAAGGGAAAAACTATAATTTTTACTCAGAAAATACTCACTTTCTGACAGCTACTCATGGTGGTGCGTGCCTGTAACCCCAGCACTCAGGAGGCTGAGACAGGAGGATCACTGTGAATTTGAGGCCAGCCTAAACTATAAAACAAGACCTTGTCTCAAAAAAAAAAAATTGTAATGATAGTAAAATTTTCACTTTCTTTTAGGGAATGGATCCTATCACACGACAAGTAGGACAGCATATTGAAATGGAGCCAGAGTGGGAAGCAGCCTTCACACTACAAATGAAATTAACACACGTCATCTCCATGGTGCAGGACTGGTGTGCTTCAGATGTGAGTTTCTTCTAAGGGCAGGGTGTAAGGAGAACAGGAGAGAGGGTACACAGAAGTCTACATACAATTTGAAGGCATTTGGAGAAAATTTTACAGCCTGCCTTAGATAACAAATTTATTTTTCCCTCCCATCTATAAGTGTAATTAAAAACTTAAACTTCTAAAGCCTAACAAAAA